CTGAGGGGCACCGGCCTCAAGTTGTGCCAGGGCAGGGTGAGGTTGGCCATGGGGAACACTTCCTTCCCCTTGGGGGTGTCAGGCACTGGAAGGGGCTGCCCAGGGAAGGGGTCGAGTCCCCAGCCCTGGGGGGATTTAACAGCCGGGCAGATGAGGTGCTGAGGGACAGGATTTGGGGGTGGGATGGCAGGGGTAGGGGAGCGGTTGGCCTTGATGATCTTAAAGGTCTTTTCCAACCTAAACGATTCTATGATTCTATGTTTGCAAGTCTTTTGGGGCAGTGTTCTCAGTCACTCAACCTGTCCTCCCAGTTATGAACATTTTGAAGTGTACTTAAATGAGCAGATCTGGTTTGGCCTCTACTTCAGTAGAGAAGATGGAAAAGATTCAAACATCTTCACTGCAATGGTCTTCAAGATTGCGTACACTGGAGAGCAAACCTTTAATGTTAGGGTGCTCTGAATAAAACTGGGCAAAACAGGGGAAAGGGGGAAGGATGTTTGCAACATAGGCTTTTGACTGTACTTACAGAAAAAAAACCCAAAGCTCTGCTTCCTAAACCATTACTTTTTGTCTACAAAGTTGCATATCTCAAAAAACTAATGGTTTTACCTCCAAGCGGTGCTGCATTGCTCTAATGTAGTTTAGATTTTTCAGTCCCCCACGGACCAGGGACTAACAGCTGCTCTGTGCTGTATATACGAATTGGGGGATAGCTTTCAAGTGAAACTCAAACTTCAGCTGGTTTCAAACTAGTATCAGATGCTTATATGGACCCCATCTTTCCATACAGGAACCCGATTTCAAAAGCCACCATTAGAGAGCAGACCAAGAAAATGATCAATGTTACACGGACAAAAGTTTGTAATAATGATCTTAATTCTATACAGGTTTCTTGCTTTTTGAGAACTGAAAAGCCTCCCAAGAACTCACTTCAAGAGTGTTTACAGTTGAGAGGTATTCATTATCCTTATGATTTCAATAATTATTGCTATTGAATGAATCTATTGATCTGTGACTTCTAGTGATGCCAAGTTTCCTTTCTGCCGTGTTCCAGCCAATGAAAATACCGTTTTTATGTATATGCATATATATATATATGTACGAGAACAGACTCAGGAGCAAGTAATGAGAATGAGTAATTTTGGTTTTGAAATCATGTGAGGGAAGTCAAGCCAGTGTGCTGCGAGACAGAACTGCAGCATGCAAAGCACTTCACTTGAGATGAGATTTACAGTTTGCAGTGAAATTAAAGCTATTAACATTAGCCTTTTAGCTACTTGATCAGCCAGGAAAGATGACAATAATACCTTCACTCAAATACAGCCCAGATGATGATCTCAAGATGCTTTTTAAACTGCTCCCAAATGGAGGGGCTAATATATTCTTTCATAGGGTCATAAAGTGGACTACTAGCACAAAACCGAACCCAGCTCTACCACCTTCTTCTCTAGTCCCCGTTCATCAGCCTATACTGGTGTGGTCCTCCTCATCAGTGTCATTTTATCCCACTGACACGTGACTTCAGCAGACAGAGATGCTTGTTTGGCTCCTGGCGAAAAGGCTTACAGCACGCCACACAGAGGCGTAGGGACATCAAGATGCTACGGTCACTTAAATACAGGCTGGCTGGCTCATCTTTGCAGCTATGAAGTACAGATATAAACACTGCTCTGATCTAAGCGAGCTGTACGTTTCCTCACTTATTATGCTATAACTTAATTCCTTTACTCCTCTATAGAAGTACTTCACTGCTGAAGACATTTCAGTGGTAGGTTACACTGGCTCTCTGTTAACCAGTGCAATTTTAGAGGTAGCTTTCTATCCCAGATCATATTATTCCACTTGTTTCTCCAAATAAATCCAGTAAACTTTAAAAATACAGTTGTATATTCTAGGGAAATAATTTCTGGCATGTGAAAATATGTGAGCTGCCAAAAGCTTTTTCCAGTTTGTTCACTGCTATAACAAAACCATTCCCCTGAACTGGAACTGAAATGGTGCAAGACCCTGCTTTCTTATAATTTGAAATGAAGGGAAGAACTCATCAACACATCTGCTCAAGAAACAGCACGTCTGTGATCCCCACTGGTAACTTACGCAGATTTAACTCCTAACGTATGCAAACATTTATTTGCAAGTGTATTATCTTAGGTACTCAGATGCCACTAATAGCCATAATGTCAGTACCACTAAATTGAAAATGAACTTTCAGAGATGCTGGGAACAAACAACTTTAAAAATAAAGAAATAAATAAAAAGAACAAGCTGTTGGAAGGGCAACGGATGCAAATTCAAGATCTCCTGATTTTATTCCAAGCTTTTGCCAGCGACTTAATGAACAATCACAGACAAGCCACTTCATGTTGTTTCTCAATACATTAATTAGGAATAACGACACTCATCTCACATACAGTTCCAGAGCTGAAAGGTGCTATGTGGCAAAGATTTCATTTTTATTTAGTTTAAAAAGACCCAGCACCTGGAGATACAAACAATTTGCCAGAGTTCTCCACAGCAAAACAAACAGCAACTCCCAAAGAATGCCAAAAGCAATAACAACAAGCTCTCTGTACACCGAGTGGCACTGTGCAGATCAAAATTCATTTGCCATGAAGAGCTACATATTTAGGGCTATGCTCTACTAAATCAGAAAGAAAAAAGCCTCAGAAAATCTAGTAGTAAAAGTTTTTCCTTACCTAACTATCCAATTTGAAAGAATATATTCTATATAAAAATACAGACTGTCAAGACGCCAATGATCAAAATCCTTGCTGAAGGCAATTTGCTTTCCATGCCACTATGAGATGCACAAGGAGGAGTCTCAGAAGCCCAAGCCATCAAAACACTCCTCCACTGGAGGAGCGAACACAACACTTGATCCTTGTCCACAAATGCTCAAGTTTTCATCTTACAAACCAATTAGCACATCATAGTGTTCATTCTCATGTAGATGAGGTTCACTGTGGTGGCCCTACTCATCATCAGTATGTTTACACAGGTCTTAATTTAGTATTCCAGTCCAAAGGTTGGAAAAAGGAAGGGTTCTGCTTCGGTTCTGTTCAACAGATGACAGGTACAGAAAGATGGCCTAACTTTTTACAGTGAACATACAAGAGATCTGAAACTGGTTTTGCATTTGACCGTATGTTCTAAAGAAAAAGCAAAAGTTATTTAATTATCTTCATAGTTTTGTTTTGTACAATCCATTGTTGAATACTCTATCTGTTGTAAATTAAGGAATATAACAGCTATAGTTTAATTTGCTTAGCATAAAGAAAACGGCAGAGCCTGCATTTAAAGTCACATCTTTCATTGAACAACACTGCTGATTTTTCAGCAATCAAAACTTTCATCAAGTATACATTGTGCCAAAACTATGCTCTGAAAGCTTAAGCTTTGTTCTAACTAGAGACCATACCATTATTTGCATCAGTTCCAATAGAACCAGGCAGGATAATGTAACATTTCAGCTAAGGAAGGAAAATCTTCTTAGAGGTACCAAACAATGCTGTAAGCTTCAAAACTTCCAAGACAACAAAGCTGCAAAAGAACTCCATCCTGTAGCCAAAGAAATCAGCTTAAACATTTTGCACATTCATTAATAATTTGCTAAATTTGGAGATGACCGCTCACCTGTGATGGATGAAGAAAAGCTGGAGCAGAGAGTTCAAAGCCTGTATGTAAAATCTCACCACTGCCTGGCAGAGCCTGCAACGGAAACAGAGGATCCTGCTCTAAACACTAAACCAGATTCCGCCCTGCATTAAGAGACGTTAGCATTGCTAAAAACCAACAGGAATTGCCCCTGCTCAGTTTGTTAATTCAACCCTACTGATGACACAGATGGCTGTTGCTTTGAGTAACTGAGTCTATTAGCAGCTATAATAGCTACCAGATCACAGGTGGCTTTAATATCAGAAAGGCTTGGCTATCACTAAAACACACACTGTATTGCAGGTGTGTAAAGTTATATGGAAACATAAAAGATAAAATGAATATGTTATTAAAATGTCTCACAGACAGAATGTAAAAAGTCACAGTTTAATCTTAAAAGTCATCATCATCTTTGATAATTTGAAGAACTCTAACATAACTCTCTTGAAACAGTATAATTATATATAATTATACCTGCAACCTGGAATTTTTGGCAGAGAACACTATCAACCTCTGGAATTCACTGCTGCAGTGAATATCATGGTTACATATTTTCTAGACATTTGAATAAATGAAGAAGAGTTACTAGGCAGAAAGGAAATAAAGTAACCTCTCTGATAGCAGATTTGACCGCTGAAATGGCCTGGGGCTTGCAGGTGATTCGTAACTGCAGCAGATCTCTTCTTGTAGAAAGTATACTCTGTACTGAAATCAACAGCACATCTAGTGCCATCCAACTGTGCCATACCATACCCATCTGCTGTGGTAAATGGTGTTTCAGAGGACTCATTTGTTAGTCCAAGCCCGATGTGTTCAGTCTTCCGTATGGTACAGTCAGGTGTTCAGTCTTTACGTTACACCACTGGAACAATCCCACAGAAATTACCATATTCAGGGGGAATTAATCAAAATACAGCAAGGCCCAGATAGCCCCTCTTTCTGGTGCAAACACTGCCACTAAACTAAAAAATAAAAAGTGCTAAAGACACGAAACCACCCAGTGAAGGAACCTTTTCATTGCTTATGTATGATCGGATCCGGCAAAAGAATCAAACAACAGGATCTGCTCCTCTGTTGCAAGGAAATCAAAAACCTGAAATTGAAAGAAAAAAACCCCCCCAGTATCAACTCCTCTGAGCCCGGAGTTCGTTTAGCAGATATAATAATGTGGGCCCTGCAGCAACAAGACCGATTGGAAGCCAATATTTGTAAAATGCACAGAGGCCGGTGAATGATTTCGTAATGGGTTGACATGAAAAGTGGCATCGGCCACACACTGCCTTGGTGATAAGAGGACGCTGGTTAGTGCCTGCTGCCCCGATGCTGCAGTGACACATCTTTTCAGTATGCAGAGCCTGTCGTTCTCATTGGCTTTTGGTTCATTGCTGTTGTTGCTTTCTTTAAGTGAGAGAAAGCAGAAATCTTTCTTCAGCCATATTTCTTAGCCTTAAATCTTTTTGTGAGTTAGAATGAGCTGCTCTCTTGATTAAACACAGGACTCTCTCTTACTCCATCATTTTCAGTATTATCACCAAGAAGAAACACATAAAAGTCTCACTGTAAATGAGCAAAGTTAATGAAAAAGAGCCATGTGAGGCTTGTAAACCATCTCACTGTTTCAGATCTCACTATAACCTATAGCCCTTGCCCACCGCCTTACTTAGAGAAAAAGTGCTGCAATGTAAATGGATCTGTAAATTATCTATGTCTAATGCAGGTAACTGGGAATGGTCAGGATGAAGAAAGCATCCTAGCTGGAATCATCTCCAGGAAAACCAGAAAAGGCATTGAGAGGAGGAATTTGTGCCTGAAATTTAAATTTTCAAGGCTCAATTCTCATTGCAGCCTGGCCTGGTGCAAAGCTTACCGACACCGGCCGATAGAGACGGTCTGATTTCAGTGGGTTTTGGATCAGACTCCGACACCAAAACACCGTTTACCCAGCGTGCGTTAGAGACCTATGCTTTCTCATAACTGAATAGTCATTAAAATAAAACAGCAAACAGACACAAAAAGAAGAATATAATGAAACAGTACATGACTCAACAATAAATCATCATCGATTTCGCTAAGCCCTCTTGAACCTGTTTACATGATGGAAAGGAAGCCACGCACAGACTGCAACACAGTATGCAAACTCCCACAAAAGGCTTGGCAAACCAAACGCAGTTACCTGGCTAAGCTAATTATTCTCCTCTTTCAGCTTATTCAAAGAAGATTTATTAATTGTACAGGAAAAAAAGCCTACTATGTCCTTCCATATTTCCTCTTATTAATTTTTAATTCATTCTCTTTTAATTATTAGGACCTACTCTGCAATGTCCTGGATCAATGCTAAGAATTAAAGTACAGGTATTTGTTCTAAATTAAATCTGACCTCAGCTCTTGGGGGGGTGGGTGGGTTTTTTTTTCTTTTTTGAATAAGGAAAATTGAGGTGACGCCGCTGTTTATGGCATCAACAGAATAGCTGGTTCTTAACCAGACAAATATTATACCAAGTTAATTTGAAGGTAATAATGCAGCCTATCAATTTTGTATGACATATGGGATTGTGCCTGCCTAACAACAACTTAAAAACAACATTGTGTGGCCAGTGACAATTACTATACTGTAAACCATTTCAGTGGGGCACACATTAATTTAATTCATTGCAGCAGGCAGGTTGACACACACAGAGAAAAATCACTGCAAAATGACAAATGCTTTACATTTTACAACATAAATACTTCCTTCAGGACTACAACCCCCTGTCATGACAGAAGCACCGACTGGCATTCCTCCAGTTTATTAAGTCAGCCCCACTGCAACAACAACAAAAAAAAAAAGTACCTGCAAACATACATTACAATCATCGTCAACTCCGTTTTACTCCGTCCCTCATACAGAAGCAACAGGAGGGAAAGCATCCAGGAGCTTTCATTTAAAACCAAGAATACTATGAAAGAAAAACTTAGGAGCACTTTTCTCCTTTTCTCTTGCAAGCAAGATATTACCTGTAAACAAGCCCTGAAAATTCATGACTCGAGAAACATTTCACATGATATTGTGGGCAGTGTACTCAATTGGGGATCTCAAAAGAGTTGGATTCATTTTAGTCTGACAGATGTATGCTTTAATCCCATCAAATGGTTGTGTCAATTCTCCCAGAGATGCTAATATAATAATGGAGAATTCCATTCATTTTGGTGGTGCTAAAGCCTGTACTGGAGAATATACGTATGGATCTCTCACACTGCTCGTTCTTCAGGGTTAGATCCTGCAAGACTGCCTAGCCGTTCCACTGCTGATCTTGAAAAGCACTGAGAATGCATACTTAATCCATATAGGCACTTTCAGGGGCACGTATGTACAGAATACAAACATAGCGTGACTGTATTTGCCTGCACTATAATTCAATCTAACTAGCATGCATGAGAACAGGGTATGGACAGTTCTGAAGGCCAATACGCTGATATCACCAAGGAGTTCTCAAGAACGAACACACAATTTACATTCCTGGTCTTAGCAGTGGACCGCCGAGCTTACCATCCTGTTGATGGTAACAGCGTCCTCAAGCTGCTTCAGCAGGGTGGGTAAGAAACATCAGTATTCGTTTGTTCATTTAACGATTCTACTCTTGAACTTCCTTTCTTGTTCCTAACTCCACGTGACATGGTCTTACACAGGAAGGGACATCCAAAGTATTTTTCAAATATGCTATGGAGACATTTCACAGCGTAAGGGCCCTTGCTTAGTGTTTGAAAGCAATGGGAAATCAGGAAAAAAAAAAAACCCCAAGTCACAGGGTCTTAAGCCAAAATACCTGGGGGGGGGATGGAATTCAGATTACCCACTGCTAAAAATCAGCTGTAAATGCAGAGAAAGTTTCTACATGCTCTATACAAGCTACTGTCTTTCTCGTCCTTTCTATCGACTATTTTAAGCCATTTTATCTGTGCTGGCGTCAGTTGTTGCTAACCACAGTAATCTCCTTTTCCATAAAAATAAAAAGGCTTCATGAAATTATGTAAAGTCAACCAAGAATAGAAATGAATATAAATATCAAGGACTATATCGGCTGTTAAGATTCAAGACAAGATGTAATCCTTGGGGAGCAACAGTGTTTAGACGTCTTTGCTGGGTGTTCACCCATTTGTATAAGAACTGTATCATCTTGGACTGATCAATTTAGGCTCGGGGATGGGACTTCAAGAGAAGCTGGTGCAGCAGCAACAGCTTTCCAAAGGATGTGGTCAGTAGCATCGCAGTCAGGACTTAGCTTAACCACGTAGACTGAAACCTTTCATTTTTGGCACTATAGCAAAACTGAGAGCTGGTCTTTCTGTTTGTTTGTTAGGGGAGGAAAACCTAAGTTTTCTGAGTGAGTTTCAGGTTTTACCGGTTTTCATGCTTTTTAAAGATAACGCTTTCTCTTTTTTTTTTTTTTTTCCCTTTTTTTTTTTTTTTTTCCCTTTTTTTTTTTTGGCGGGGGGAGGGCTGTGTTTGCTTTTTATTTCTCTTTCCTCCATCATCATAAATTCACTTTTTCATAGAATGAACAGCCTGAAGCAGAAACTGAAGATGACTGTAATCGTGACCCTAATCACACAGAACCCTGATTGCACAGAAAAGCTTTGCAGAAATTAGCTAGAGCTTCCAGTTCTAATGAACCAGGTTAAACAGAGAGAGTGTTTTCATGCAGGAAAACCAAGCTTATGCCAATTACTGCCACTGTCTTAATGCGAGGTGCCCAGGGCTGCCAGTTCTCTCTTGGTTGCAATTCCCAGAGGCTTAATTTACATCTTTGTGATACATTTTCTCAGAGCTGCTGCTGGACACGATCGGTAGCTTGCAAATAAAATTTAAGTGAAAGCAGTCAGAAATTTTAGGTGATGTGGCTCTACAATGCTTGGGAATTCACGGATTTCACCTCTGGGGCATTCTAGAAGACAGAAAAGGTAAATGTTCATGATCCTCTGAAATTGCCCATGTTCCTGCTCATCTATTTCAAAGTTTTGCAACTTTTCTGTAAGAAAGGCTTACATAGGAAGGATGCCACAACTGACATACCCTC